TTGTTCATTGCCAGTCGATGGTTGTGAGCTTCTTTCAACTACAATAGGAGGACTAACCAAAGAACCATAACATCGATCAGGATAATCAACTTTACTTATGCTGGGTCGACGGATTGTTGAATAAGGAGACAAGCGAAATGGTGTTCCAGGAATCAGGTTGGGCATCAGGGAGGTCAGTGTGCTTAGCTTCCGTCCAATACTACTTGAAGATGTATGTTCTTCAAACTTGGACTAAAAGACACAAAACAGAAATCACGATTATTTAAAACCTTCTGATCACTATAAATTCAAACTGATCGATTTAAAGTTTAACTTGATTAAGTATAACAACAGCTCTACATTGTATTTGATATCCATGACCATTAAAAGTTTCGTCTTGAAATGCTCAAAAGACCGTGTTTGGTCTGAAAACATGATAACTCTGGTCATCCGGACATATTGCAATCGAAGTTGAAAATTTCGAAATTTTTAAATTCCTTTTTAATTTTTACCTTACAAATCTTTAAACTCATAAAATTTATCATTTGGTTTATTTGACTTCTATCGTCATTAAAAAGTACTCAACAATTGAGTTTAAAATCTTGGTATATTCTGTTAAAATCTTATAAAATCGAAAAGTTTGAGATGATTTCAAGATTGATTTTTGAGTTTTCATTTTTCATTACCTGTGACTTTTCAACATTCAATTGAGGCTGACTATTGAGGGCCAAACTTGACAAATTAAGGTGCTTATGACCATAAGATAGTTCCTGTGGTCCAGGTGAACCTTGAGGTGTGGCTGCAGTGTGTATAATTCTGGGTGGATAATATGAGCTAAAATCGGATTGAGCATTTGTCTCTTGAAATGGTTGTTCAGTCGAAGCGTCCACTTTATTTCTAAATCGCGATGTAATTCCAGGAGGATTTGTTAATAAATGAAGTTCTGTTGGAACAACAAAAAGGTATAAAAATTAGTGTAAATTGCAAACAAAAAGGAAAAGTGCGCGAATGAAAAGTTGGAAAACCTCAAAAGCTAATGAAAAGTAAATCAATCAAAACTGATTAACCATTTAACTTCATGAAATTTTTGCTTTGATAAGAAGAAGAAAAATGATGTTGTTTAAATTAATCATTTTTTATCGTCACTTCCATTGAACCTTCAAGCCATTTACCTATTTGTTGCTGTTTACTTGAAACCTTTTGTTACATTTTATTAGCTCACCAACAAAATTTATCAACAAATCAGGCAAGAAAGTATACTTTTATGCACTTAACCAGACGATGATGATTATGATTCTATTATGATGAACTGTTTCCATGAAAGCCTGAAAAAGCCTGAAAAATCTTA